GGAAAGACCGGCTCCCCCCAGCGACGCAGCTCCGCCGCCGGCGTCCCAGTTCGCAGCTACTGACGCTGGCGAGCGGTGCCGGGGGCTGCTACGGGGAAACAGGCACCGGCCGGCCCCCGGCCACAAAGCCCAGGGGGGCAAAGAACAGGAGCCCGGCTCCCAGTCATGGGCTCATTCGCTAGGATCTGCTACGTGGCTTCTTCCACCCTTTCCTAGGGCAGGGGCAGAGAGCGGAGGCCGCTGACCCACAGGAAAATCAGCCGGGGGCCGCACACCAGTGAGAGGCAAAAAATCAAACTGATCCCTCGCTGACGTGGCCCCCGGCTGGGGAGACAGACGCTCCCCACGTTCCCCTCGTGCGCCTGGGGAGGGGGGTAGCCTAGTAGGTTGTATGTGCCCCAGCGTGGACTCCCCAATGCTTTGGGGGAGCCCTACGCCTCGGGAGCCAAACGGGTGCAGCTCCCCGGCCTTAGGTTCCTCACCCCGGTGCTGGGTGTCAGTAGCAAACCCTCTGACCATCCCTGGGGAACCGCACTGGGCCATGGATGGAGAGGTGTCGCTCGCGCCCTGGGAGCTGCTGCTGAAATCCCGCACGGTCTTAGCGTGGACTCCCCAATGCTTTGGGGGAGCCCTACGCCTCGGGAGCCAAACGGGTGCAGCTCCCCGGCCTTAGGTTCCTCACCCCGGTGCTGGGTGTCAGTAGCAAACCCTCTGACCATCCCTGGGGAACCGCACTGGGCCATGGATGGAGAGGTGTCGCTCGCGCCCTGGGAGCTGCTGCTGAAATCCCGCACGGTCTTGGGTTCAGTAGCCTTCAGAGACATGCACCAGCCCTGAGGCTTGGTCACTGGTCCGCCCGTTCCCTGTCACCCCGCAGCCCTCCCAAGGGTGGTGCCCGCAAGCCCGTTTCCCCCGCCCTGCGAAGGAAGGGTGAGCGGGACCCCTCGCTGCACCCAGGGGCAGGGGGTGGCAGCCCCCTGATGGGGAAGGGGGGGGCTTTTCAGGCCTTGACCTGACGTGTCCTTTGGGCAGCGGGCGGCTCCTCCAGCTGACTGAGCGCCAGGGTCCCAGGCTCTTGCCTTTCATGTCCTCGAGGCAGGACACAGCGAGCCGGCCAGGGTAGCTTGTTTACAGCTGGGACTCGCAAATAAAAGTGGCCGTGTCTCTGGAGGGCCGGGTGCCGTTCCTTGCCGGGATTAAAGCCGGGCTGTGTTTGGAAGCACCACGCAAAGTTTATTAGACATGGCAAAGGTGACGCGCAGGCCAGGCCAGCTGGAAGGCAGCAGCACGTCCGTTTCTTTCGCTCCCTGCTCCGGGCTAAGCACATGTTGCCCTCCCTTGGGAAGTACCTTATGTACAGCCAAACCTCATGCTGCAATCAGGCTGATGGTGTTTCCCTGGGTGGGTGGGGAAACTGAGGCACAAAGGAGGACGTGGCTGGCGTAAGCTCACGCAGCTGGTGGGTGGCAGAGCTGGGAGCCTGGGTGGAGCCGCTGGGACCCCAGGGATGGAGGCTGAACTGCGTTGGACTCTTTGTGGGGCTTTCAGCTTCATAGCTGGGCAAGCTGCTCTGGGGCCAGAGGGCCCCCCCGCCCCCATTGTTATGGGAGGCCAGGCGGTGGAGCCGATGTTCCAGATCTCCTTTGGTTCCGAGCATGCTTGCAACCAGAACATCTGACCTAACTCTGCGCCCATCTAGCATAGCCCTCCTGCTGCAGGCAATGCCAGGTTGGGCCAGTCTCCAGAACAGGCCTCGCAAGGCCCGGCCCTGGTTCCACTTAGCAGGGCACAGGCAGCGAGACAGTGAGAGCCCCACAGCAGAGAGATTCGCTTTGTCCCCTGCGCCTCCCGTTCGGCAGCAGGAAGCCCAGGGCCTTTCAGCCGCCTTGGCAGCACTTACTGAGCCTGGTCCACCCAGCTCCTTCCGCCGCTGGGCGCTGCCTCCTCATTCCTAGCCTGCTCCTGCGCTGCTGCATGCCGGAGCCAGTGCGGGCTCCAGAATGGAGACGGAACCACCTCTGCTCGAACCAGAAATGAAACTTTTGGTGAATTAAAAAGTTGGGGGGAAAAAATTGGGGGATGAAACAGGGCGGCTTGTGAGCATTTATCACTTTCATGTTCCAAATAAAGGCTGTTGCAACATGACAGCTTGTGGCCAATCAAAACTATTCATTTTTTTAAAGTTTTTTTACAGTTATAGACTCACATGGCTACCCCTCTGAAACATATAACGAATCTGATAATTGTAGCACTGCCCTCTACTGCGTGCAATCAGAAATGCACAGACCTGCAGGCCAATGCCGGGCAGGCAAAGGCCCGTGTCTCCTTCTCTGTCCCCGGCTGTTTGTCCATTCTGAGCGTGCATTTGCTGCTCCCGTGCTGTGCCTGACGCCAGCCCCTGGATTAAGCCTGAAAGCTAAACAAGGTGTTTGTGCGGCAAACGCGACGCACGGCGAGCGAGTGCCAGAGGAGTCTGGCACGGAGAACAGCAGCAGGGACAGGAGGGGAAAGAAGGAGTGCCGGCCCTGCTTTTCTGCAAAACCTCACTGGCTCAAGCCGCACCCTGCAAAGCAGCCCTTCCCGCTGTCTAAATATGGAAGCAGGTGCTTGTGTTTCCAAAAACCTCAGTGGCCGGGTTCAATCTCCAATGGGACTGTGCCTGAGCCAAGAGGGGAACGGGCAGACACGGAGCGTGTGCAGGCCCAGGGCGGGGTGTCTAGTAGGCGCCACACGAAAGGGGCCTGACGTCAGGGCAGCTGCTGGTTGGGGCTCTCTAAGGGGGGGCATTTCAACTGTAGGCCCATCCAGCTTGGAAACTGTCGCTGGCTACGGCCGTGCATGTGCCCTGCTCTTGGCACTACATGGACCTCGCAATAAAATCAACCCCCCAGCTAGACTGAGGAACCAGCCCAGGATCTGCATTACTGACCCTGCAGCGGCTCGCTTACTCCCCCAATGCTGCACCTACCTCTGCGCCAGGGACTCCCCTTTGTCCGCCTTTCTTAGGAGCAAGTATTTAAACCTGCCCAGCCTCAATGCTAGTCTTACTCAAACCCTGCCCAGTGCGGGTCTGCCCCCATCCGTCGCGAGAGGACGCCTGTTGTATTTCAGCCCTGCTCCAGGCCAGGAAGCATGTAAGGACCGAAAGATACTGCCACAGGGGGGTAAGTACCAGCCTGGTTTACAGAAAGGGAAACTGAGGCCAGAGCCAGTGACTTGCACAGCGCTGCTGCAAAAGACCCCTCTGTGATTGTGGGAGAAGAGGCTTGTAAAGGGAAGAGAAGCTCACAGGTTCAAATGTGTCAAGACAGCACTTTATTGCCACAGGAGGAGTCGGGATGTGTCTGTGTGCGGCCGCACCGGGCCAGTGCAGCAGCTGGTCGAGTTGCACAAAGCCACTGCAAAGTGCATCATTCTGCAGAGTGTGCTGTAACATTTGCTAATCCACCATCCCCGCTTCCCATAAATGACCCAAAACCCCACTGCCCCAGGCAGCCCGGCGTGGTCGCTCAGCGGCACTACAGGACCGAAAGCCCCTCTGCCGAGAATGCTTAGAGCATATTTCCCTGCTCTATGTCTCTGATGGCCAAGAATCTGATTCGTTTCTAGGTCCCGGCAAGCTCCAGCAGGCACGGAGCCGCCCTCGCCACCATTAAATGGGGCTTTGCCAACCCCAGGGTGCCCCTAAGCATCCACCCTGCGCTGAATACTAATGTCAAGAACCCAGCTGTGGGGAGATGGGCCACAAGGGGGGGGCTGAGCACTTGTTAGGGTAGCACCTCGGAGCAAACATGATTAGGCCCCGTTGGGCCAGGTGCTGCCCAGACCCAGTAATTTGTGTCGCCTCTGGGGGGCGGGTGGGCTTTGCCAACCCCAGGGTGCCCCTAAGCATCCACCCTGCGCTGAATACTAATGTCAAGAACCCAGCTGTGGGGAGATGGGCCACAAGGGGGGGGCTGAGCACTTGTTAGGGTAGCACCTCGGAGCAAACATGATTAGGCCCCGTTGGGCCAGGTGCTGCCCAGACCCAGTAATTTGTGTCGCCTCTGGGGGGCGGGTGGGGCTTGTCCAGGGGCTGCTCTCCCTGGACAGCAGGGAGGGAAGCTCCTGTTCTCTAGAGGGGGCCGAGCTTCCTTTCACAGGGCCGCTTGCTTGGGCCGGTGCTCTGCAGGGCTGGGCTCGGCCCTGGCCTGCTGAGCAAAAACCCGGCGCCTTCCAGAGGACAGGGCAGAGTGTGCCTGCCTGCCGGGGGCTCCGCCAGCGCGGCCAGGGGGCCGGACGCAGCACTGCCTCCCGGGGTCGGCTGAGGAGCAACCGTACCCGCGTGGGCCCCGCCGGAACGGAG